AGATCGAGGTGACAAAGATTGTTACTACTGTACCTAATATTTCACAATAAAAAGTGAGACAGTTCAATGTTGATTTAGAAGTAGGTAACAGGAAAATAATACATATAAAACTCTGTTCAGGGCTGAGCATGAGTTTATTTCAACGTATAACTATAACTACCTACTCTACGCTTCTCTCTCTCTTTCACCAGTGCCCTAATGCAAAGAAAAATCGATAAATAAATAAGAACACATATTATATCTAAATCTATTTGATCATGTTGGTTATTAAAAGAGTATCCACGAGTGTAAATTAAGATTGGAATCAGCTGAGCATTAAAATATGTACTTATAATCCTTGCCATAAAAAATAAGATAAGTGGCGATCTGTACGTGACCAGCATGATTTCTATAAATCGACTATTGTATCTCTATTCCTCCTTCTAATGAGAATGGAAGAGATGTTAAATTTTTTAAACCTTTTATAACGCGTGCGCGTCAGTTAATTAAAATAATTAAATTTAAAAAAAAAATAAAACCGACTTCAAATGCTGAAACACAAAAATAAAACTAAAAATTAAAAATATTGCGTATAAAAAAGTTCATCCCCAATTTTCCACCCTTGGGGGTGAAATATTTTCTTCAAATTCGCATGAAACCACCCTTTTGATAATACCTATTCAACAAAAAAATAATCGTTCAAATTGATTNATCAAAAAGGTGGTTTCATGCGAATTTGAAGAAAATATTTCACCCCCAAGGGTGGAAAATTGGGGATGAACTTTTTTATACGCAATATTTTCAATTTTTAGTTTTTTTGTGTTCACTCATTTGAAGTCGGTTTTATTTTTTAAAAAAGTTAATTATTGGTGATAGTTACCTTCTGTCAAAAGTTTTATCTTTAAAAAGTAATAAATGTAACGTTTCCACTGTAGTCTATTCAATAAATCGCTTTTTGAGTTTGTCCAACTTTTTAACTCTTTTGTACTTTTGAGCAATTGTAGTTTTTAGATCAGTAAAAAATCTCAGAATCTTACAAGCTTCCCAAAAAACCGAACCAAACATTATTAGTACATCCCATTGGGATTGCATCACGTACCAGATCTGAAGCGCCCGTAGGTACCAATACCGCGTAGTCAAATAAAAAATACTATTACGGCAACAGCACATCAACCTTTACACTTTTGTTGCAATATGGAACCTATTCCAACTACATAAGATGTCACAGTAATAGCTTGACGTGCCATCTGCACAAAAACCCGGATCCCAATATCATGAGTAAACCACTTTTTCCGAGTGAATTGTCATCGGCTTCAATCGAAAATGTCCAGTCAAGATGCTGTGTTAACGGCAAAAGAGTAGAAACTACTAATAATTCATTTCCACCAAACCAACTCTATAGATTATCTTACCCTCTTGTGTACCCTGTACTACGATTATGAGGTGAGATTTCCCATTCAAGTAAGTAATAATAAATAAACAATATCCTTGGACATTTTACACTACGCTTCTAGTCCCAAACTTAGCAAAGCTTGTACTATGGGTACTAGACAACGGATATAAACATACTTAAATACTTTTTTTTATGTAAATACATACATATTATACATAGTAACACCCGGCCGGGAATCGAACCTGGGACCTCTCTGCATAGTAGTCCGTTTTCGAACCACTACACCAAACGGCTGACTGATCTCCTTTAGTTGGTTTTTCGTTATAATTTTTCAGAATGTTACGTTAAATTGTTATACCTACTTTTCCAAATACCAAACTATTGTATCAGTAATCCTACAATTTTGCGTGAGCTTCTATCATTTTTCCGTTCACAAGCCATCGGATTTGAGTTAAAGCGGTAAAGATGAAAGATCGAGGTGGTAAAGATTGTTACTACTGTACTAGTGACAATAAAAAGTGAGACAGTTCAATGTTGATTTAGAAGTAACAGGAAAATCTAAATTTATATAACTCAAAGATGACTGACTGACTGACTGACATAGTGATCTATTAACGCACAGCCCAAACCACTAGACGGATCGGGCTGAAATTTGGCATGCAGGTAGATGTTATGACGTAGGCATCCGCTAAGAAAGGATTTTATGAAACTCCACCCACTTAAGGGGGTAAAACGGGATCCACGCGTACAAAGTCGCGGGCGGCCGCTAGTAATACATATATGTATATAACACTCTGGTTAGGGCTGAGCATGAGTTTATTTTCATGTAACGACTCTACGCTTCTCCCTCCCTTTCACCAGTACCCTAATGCAAAGAAAAAGCGATAAATAAATAAAAACACATACCTATCTAAATTTACTTGATCGCGTTGGTTATTAAAAGAGTGTCCACGAGTGTAAATTTTAAGATTAGAATCAACTGAGCATTAAAATATGTACTTATAATCCTTGCCATAAAAAATAAGATAAGTGGCGATCTGTACGTGACCAGCATGATTTCTATAAATCGACTATTGTATCTCTATTCCTCCTTCTAATGAGAATGGAAGAGATGTTAAATGTCCTGTCTGTGTCGTTAATTTGGTATTTTATTTTTTAATGTGAATTTTAATTTATTTTGACATGTTTATTTGAAATTAATTGTATTGTTTTTTGTTTTTTTTTATTTTGTTAATTTTGTTAATTTTATTCTTATTGTAATTTTTATTTTATTGTGAATTTTAATTTTTATATATTTTTGGACATGTTTATTTAAAATTTTAGTTATTGTATTGTTCTTTTTTTTTTTTTAATTTTATTGTAATTGTTAATTAATTTGAATTTATCTTATTATATTTTTTTTTGCCCCTGCGTACAAGGCACCCACTGAAAACCAGTGTCTTGGCACTTGGCAATAAAATGTCAACTGTCAAGATAATACTGAGTGGGTGACCTCTTTGGCAACATTTTTTTTTTCTCCGCCTCGTTGTTTTTTGTGCTTTTTAGTTGTCCAATAAATAATTTTTCTTTCTTTCTTTCTTTCTTTCTTAAATTTTTTAAACCTTTTATAACGCGTGCGCGTCAGTTAATTAAAAAAAGTATCCACTAAGACCAAGAAGAAATCAGCTGAGCATTATAAATGTTTATTCCTTTGCCATAAAAAAATAAAGACGAGTAGAATCTGTGACACGATTCCCATACATGGACCAATATCGACTCTTTGTTTCTCTCTCACTTCCATCAGTATCCTAGTGCAAATGAAAGAGATGTTAAATCTTTTCTATCGCGTCAGTTATTGAAAGAGTGTCTACTAAGACCGAAATCAGCTGAGCAATTATGTTTATTTCTTTGCCATAAAAAAATAAAATAAAGACGAGTGGCGATCTGACACCTCTTGCGCACACGCAGATAAGTGCCGCGATAAGTGAACAGGTTGCATAATGGTCGTCGACTCCGCGTGCCAAGTGCCAAGTGGGTAGACGTATGGAAGAGACAGTGTTCTGTGTTGTTTTTGAGAAATTGACTGAGAATAATTTTATTAATGCAATGGAAATGAGGGATTGTGCACTTTATGTAGAGTCGGTTTTGTAATATCCTTCTTTCGTAGGTTTTCGTAGCTTTCGTAGGTTTGTCTACCATTCAGGGCCGTGCCCAGGGCCAGATCAGGGTCAGATCGCCACTAGTCTTTATTTTTTATGGCAAAGGAATAAACATTAAGTAAAAGTTTTATTCATCTAAAAGGCTCAATTTGAATATCTCATTCATAGGTAGCTAAGTCTAATATAAATTCTAAAAGCTTTTAAAAAGAAATATCACTTTTTCACAAAAAAAAACACACACACTCGGAATAAAAGCTTTTTTATAAACAAGTAAAGTTTAGGCTTCATAATGTTCTTGTCAAAGTACTTACGTCTTATTCAAGTGAGAAAAAGTTACTCAAACTTATTTACAATTCTACTCCTCGGTGGAAAACTTTACTACTGCAACTGGAATTAATATTTTATGGAGCTTTTACTATATCGTAAAAACGCTATGACATTACGTCGAGAGTATGCAACGTTTTAATAAAAAACACCTCAATACATTAAACTTTTAATATTATCTGAGTTTAAATCGGGATTTTCGAAGTTCCTACGTATCTCCAAAAAACTTTGTATCGGACCGGATGCTAACTGTTCTTAAACTCGAGTTTTTTTATCTTGTAATAAATTACTACAAAGTACGGCCATGTTTTAAGTTGTTGCGATTAGTAGACCATAATTGACGATTTTGTAATTAATTTATAATATAAAAAGTCCTTTAATGAAGTGAAATGTTTAGCATATTTAATTAAGATTTATGAATTGCAAATGGATTATGATAAAATTAGATTTATGAATATAATCATGTTCTAGGAGATAATAAAATTATTTATTCCTGGGAACTGAGAAATGCGTTAAAACTTAAAGCTCCGTGTAATAAAAGCTTCTATGAAAGCTTTTTTATGGAATTGGAGTTCATATACACAAAGAAAGAAAAATTGTTATAAATATTCCAAATGATGAATTGTACGCTCTCAAAAAAAGATAATTTATGATTAAGAAATAAAACTGTTAACGAATGAGCTTAATGAACTTGAAAAGAACTTTTCGTTGAAAAAGATCCGTTGACCATGAAATAAGATATTAGCATATTTAAATATGTAACAATTTTCAAGCATGTTCATAAAATAAGGCAAGGAATTCATAATGAACCACCATTTTACTACGAAAGCTCGCTGTCAATTATATGTAGAGCTTTTACTATAGCACCAATTTCAACATTATTAATACGTCCAGATATTTATGAGATAAAATTTAATAATTTCCCTTAATACTGATTTTCACCAACTGTCAATTTTGTGGCATATTTTTTTAATATTTTTATTTATTTATTTAAAAGCTTCAGTCAATAATTTGCGCACATGAACATTCGCCGGCTAAATTAAAGAAAAATAAAATTTCTAACGCTGCACATAAAAAAAAACACGATTATTCTGGATTATCCTGATGTACTACCCTAAGTACAAACACAGAGTAAATAGCACTGCAACAAAAGGGGTGGTACTCACGGTCGGTCCGGTCGGGAGCCAAGCGGCATCTGCGCGAGCGCACTCAGAGCAATGACTTGGACGCGCGCGCTTGACCTTGCGGCTAGTACACGCGAAACAGACGCCGTACTCGTTTTATACTCACCTTATTGCTGGTGCACACTGCTGTGGAGGATGGACAGCACTTAGAGAATAAAAGATTTGTTTTTGGCAGAGTGGCAAGTACAGAAGGTACTCCAGCCATTTGGCGATCGTCTGTCGCAGATCGGGCCGTATCGAAAGCATGCCTTATGCGATGCCCGATCAGTGGCGAACCCAACTAGAGGGTTGCCCACCGCGGTATTGGACTAAAACCCATCCTACGGCGGGCTCATTCTAGTGGGCCCGATCGAAGGAATAAAAGATTTGGTTTTCAGCGAGTTGGCTTTTATAGAGCTTTTTGGACGTCACAATACTCGATTGTTGAACCTTTCGAATCAAATCAAATAAGTTGTAAAACAAAATCACTTCTTGTATTCAGCAATGTGCTCCTGAAATGAGAAGTTAAAATGGTATTATGTGTTGGCATGCTAATATAAATAAGTCCATAGCGGCAAAGCTCAGCGAAGGCTGTAGTTCAGTATGTGGCTGTCAGAATAGCTCTTACAGCAGTTTTCGCGAAACTACAAAAGCCTGTTTTAAGTTTGCTTTGCAACAGATTTCAGTGGCTATCTTTACATGTAACTTACAACTTTGAAGGCTTATCCGAAAATGGTTGGGTTGCTATTCGTAATGTAGAGTTTCTACGCTACGCTCCATATAGGTAAGTCAGGTTCAAGCCTTTAAAAGTAGCTTAGCTTAACCCTTAAACTGCGGAATATAACCCGTCATTAAACTGTCAATCTGAGGCAACATAATATGTCTGGCTACGCAGTCGACGGTTTAATTACGTTTTTAAAAACTGCTTAGTAGGCTACCATAAAGCGTGCACAATCCTCTCCCCAATACTTGTTCATGAGTTTCCATAATTTTCTTTGGAAATATTTCATGGCTGAATACTTTCAGGGGAAACTGCTTGTCTAGACGACGCATACAATTTTATAGGTAGCAGCATACACAGGACAGCTAAAAAGATATTCTATCTAGAGAATGGTGACAAACATTTGTCACATATTATGTACAAAAGTTAAAGCTCAATAAATGTTGTTCATTCTTACGGTCCATGTGTACCAGACATGTCTTCGCCTATCCAGTTTATTTTGATCCGCTTGGCGTCACTCGCGCTAGACAAAACGGAAAAAATAGACCAACCGCAGGTATCCCACTTAACTGGTTGCCTCCGCGGCGAAGCTTTGGCGTAATAAAGCCTCGGAGATAGCGAAAAGGGCTGACGTTTAAATAATGAAATCAATATTTGTTAGAAGGCTCCTCCCGTGGCTTCGCTTGTCTGGAAAGAAAGTGTTCCTCTTGTATTCTGTTTATTCTATTGCACATCTTTAGGAAAGGCTGGTAGAGCAAAAAAGTATGAGACGTAAAAGCTCCTTACTATCAAAATATGAAGACTTCATTTTAATTTCTTTAGTCAAAGTCATTGCATTTCATGAATGTTTCCAAGATGTGNGCGCCCGCCTTATTGAAAAAAATCCGCCTTAAAAAGGTTTTTGACAACTACTTTTTTCATTTTATAATTTTTGGGACATAGACAAGCTAAGAAGCTTTGATAAATGTGATATAGTTCCAAAATACTGGACTGTCCTGTCGATGACATTGACAGTGGGGCGCCACCGTCAATACCGGATCGCTGGTTCAGATATTTGCCATGTTGGAAACCATACAGATGAACGATGGTAGCGCCCCCCTGTCATTGAGTTTGGTGGGACAGTTCAGCGTGGGTCATCTATAAATTTCATGTAATGTAAGTTAAATAGATTTAGAGTTGTGAAACAGTCAAATTAATGTACCTGCTAAATTGCGAGTTATTTTTTCTTTGACAGGACACGCTGCCGGGTGTCCTAAATATTATGCTGATGTATAAAAAAATTCGCGTTGCTGAAGTATTATTTTTTTTTTGTCTTGTTTGTTTCTACATTACATAATTGTATCCTACTAATATTATAAATGCGAAAGTTTGGATGTCTGGAAGTTTAAAATAAAGTAAAGTAATGTTTATTTCTTACCAACATAACAGATAATATTATGATAACAAACAATCAGGAAAAACAAAAAGTAAGAATGTTGGTGGGTTGATATCTGAACTAGAAAGATTCCTGTGTCTCAGGTTTGTTACTCTTTCACGCAAAAAGTACTCAACGGATTTTGTTGAAACTGTACAATATTATTGTTTTGTTTGTAACCCAGATTAACATATAGGCTATAATTTATGCCGATCTGTGACACTAAATTTCACGCAGGTGAAGCCGCAGGCAAAAGCTAGTCGTGAAATAAATAGGAAAGTTTAAGGTTCTGAAACGTGGTCGCTTACTATGGGCCTCATAAGAAGGCTCAAGGTCACCCAAAGGGTGATGGAGCGGGCTATGCTCGGGGTTTCCCTGCGTGATCNATTTGGGGGCACGGTAGTGCAACCGCCAAGTCGAGTAAAATTTTTCAATTTCGGTCCAGTTTTCTAGATACATAACTGCTGTCTACAAAATACAAAAAGAAATGAGATCCCATCAAAAACAATACTTGTCAAAAAAACCAAGTCTCGCAACTCAGTTGTTCTACGGTAAAAAGTTGTGAGATCCATGTAATACCAAGTCCAGGCCAGGAAATCTTTAACGTTTTACATAAATATATTGACTTGGCCATCGCATTTGTCACTCACTGACTGACTGACTGACTGACTCACCGATCATCAAAATTCTAAGGCACTTCTAGCAGACCTTAAGTCTATCAATTTTTTTCAATTTCGGTCCAGATTTATAAATATTTAACTACTTACTTACACCAATATAATAAATATACTTACTAATATAATAATTACTAATGCAAAAAACGTACCTACGTGCGTATTCATACTTATTACGAGTGCGTAAGGTTGTAAATTACCACGCGCTGCGACGCTAGCGAGTGAGCGCGGGCCGTTACTACGCGCTGCGGTACAAGCGCGAGGGCGCGGGGCGGGGTCCGTGGCGGGGCGCGCGGAAAGGTGAATGTCGCCGAGCGAGCGGCAGCCGCGCTCATACGCGCGAGCGCCCCAATGCTGTTCGGATGTGCCCAGAATTCTTACCTATAAGTTTGCGATTTTCATTAATAATTTCGATTGCTATATTAGTTTGACGACTGAGAGGCTACTCTCATTTGTTTACTGATATTATTTGCTTACAATTTGGACGTTGTGAAATATTGATACTTTAAGTAGGTACCTAAGTATTTATAAAGTAATTTCTTATTACCTATTCGTATTTCTGCATAAAAATAACTTTGCAATCTAACTTTTACGTAGTCGCAATGGATTCAGTGATACTGTATGTGAATGATCAGCCTTGTCCACACTGGGTTGTTCCTATACCTGGTGATGGTTCGTGTTTATTTCATTCTTTGTCATTCTCTATGTATGGGAATATTGAGTCGTCGTATGATATTAGACTGGCTATAGTCGAGTATGTGGTAGCGCATTGGGATGAGTTACAAGTGTATACTTGTGACGAGCACGGAGACACCTACATTAATGCTAATTTGTATACAACGGCAATGGTAAAAACCACTACTTATGGTTCCGCGTCGGAACTTATGGCGGCCGCCGCTTTGTATCCGTATGCTTTCGAGGTTTACGATGACGGCCTTTTGAGAGCATCATTCGGTGGTGATTCTGGTAATCCGGTGAAACGTTTACGATTTTCTGGAAGTTACTTAGGCGGTCATTATGAAGCGCTCCTTCCAGACGTGCTTCCGAATGATAATAATTTGAATAATATAAATAATAATGATGCGATCCTTCCAGAAGTGCCTTCGAAAGATGATAATTCGATTAAAAATAATAAAAACTTAACTAAGAAGGGCGGAAGACCTAAAAAGGTTAGTAAAGGAAGACCTAAAACTTCGACGCTATCCCGTTCTCAACAAATCAAAGAAGCAGCAGCACGTTATCGCCAGAATAATCCCGAAAAACGTAAGGAGACATTAGCGCGTTATACTACGTCTCATCCTGAAGTTAACCGAGAAGCAGTATCACGTTATACTGCTTCTCATCCTGAAGTTCACCGAGAAGCAGTGTCACGTTATACTGCTTCTCATCCTGAAATTCACCGAGAAGCAGTATCACGTTATACTGTTTCTCATCCTGAAGTTAACCGAGAAGCAGTATCACGTTATACTGCTTCTCATCCTGAAGTTCACCGAGAAGCAGTATCACGTTTTACTGTTTCTCATCCTGAAGTTAACCGAGAAGCAGTATCACGTTATACTGCTTCTCATCCTGAAGTTCACCGAGAAGCAGTATCACGTTATACTGCTTCTCATCCCGAAGTTAACCAAAAAGCTGTCGCACGTTATAAAGATTTACACCCTGAGCTAAATCTTCAATCTGTCCAAAGGAAAAGATCAAACGAAAATTTACAACTTCGACTAAAAAATTTAGGGACAATTACTCAAGCGTTAACAAATAAAATTAAGAACAGATTGGAAGCGGAGAAACTGATAAAATGGGCAATTCATAGCAGGCAGCAAACATTAGGAAGCTTAAATAAAACTATCGATTCTTTGAAAAATAAATTTAAGGTATCTTTAGAAAAACTAAGTTCGTGCCATCCAGATAGTCCTTTAAATGACAAACTAGAATGTTTTCTTGGAAAATCAGAGCACAGAAGTAACCAGGAACCATATTACGCAGGAAAAGCTTACAATTTACTTAATAACAAGGACAAATCCATCGAAATTGACAAAACAGGAAAAGCGGTCTTTGGAAATGTAAAGAAACATGGTCATAGTTTAGTCTGGTCTTGTAATGATCTGTGTGCACTAGATGAGAACGTAATTATACAATTAAGAAACATTTTCGAAAGCTTGGTGAACAAAACCTCAGCTCAGTATTACAGATTAATTGAAAAAAAACAAATATTAGATTATTTAAATTATATTAACACTATCAAAGCACATTTTCCTCGTCTAAGGAC